ATGAGCGCAAGATACACAAAACTGTCTGCTGACAACATCCCCCTCCCCAATTTTCCTTCAGATTCGAATGAGAATAAAATGCATGTGAACTTGAAATTCGAAGGTCAGGCAAGGAAGAATATTTTGGTTCTGCTTGCTTGCTTGCTTGCTTGCTTGCTTGCTTGCTTGCTTGCTTGCTTGCTTGCTTGCTTGCTTGCTTGCTTGCTTGCTTGCTTGTTTGTTTGTTTGTTTGTTTGTTTGTTTGTTTGTTTGTTTGTTTGTTTGTTTGTTTGTTTGTTTGTTTGTTTGTTTGTTTGTTTGTTTGTTTGTTTGTTTGTTTGTTTGTTTGTTTGTTTGTTTGTTTGTTTGTTTGTTTGTTTGTTTGTTTGTTTGTTTGTTTGTTTGTTTGTTTGTTTGTTTGTTTGTTTGTTTGTTTGTTTGTTTGTTTGCTTGTTTGTTTGTTTGTTTGTTTGAAATAGAATATTTCCAGCATGATTCTTTACACTGCCGAGGTCAAAGTTGACTCGAGCGGAATTTGTGCAACTTAAAACCAGTGAGCTCCATATGTATCTGGAGTGGGAACTCGAGTCCAAACAGTGAAACCAAGATAGATCTAGAGTTTTTGGACGTCAGTTCCAGTCTCTCTTCTGTATCGTTTTTATTTCGTCGTTTGACTTCTGTTTAGAGAATATTATTAGAGATTTATGAACGATAACTTGATTTGTGATACGGTACGTCGGAAAAAAACAGGAATTAGCTAGGAAAATGGCATGAAAACTGTATACGACCTTTATAGATTTTAGCCGTCAATTTCCGCCATCCAGTCAACCTCGTTCCCAGGGCTTTCGTGTGAGGACGAGGGGAGAGACGAGAAGGCCCTGGTTTGGACCGGTCACATGACAACCCAAAATATGGATATATTTGACAGCTACTCGTCAAGGAGTGGCGAGATACGCTTAACAGAAATATACAAGTCTTCGAAACAAATGAACAGCCAAAACACTTATCAATCGATATTATTTATGTGTAGCGACGTTTGGCACGAATCAGCTGAAATCTCTGAAGACACCATCGATGTTTTCTAACTAAGATATACCGATATATCTGGAGATTTTCAACCACAGTGACAGGCAAAGACAAAGGCACAACTGTATCTCAACATGATCCTCTTCACAATCTTTGTTTTATTTTATCGCAATTTTCAAGTATTCGTGGTATTCTAAAACTGTAAAATTCGGTGCTGTGACAAGCGAATCTTGTACATGCAGACTACATAGCCTACGCGTAGGAGCTAAGTAAACAGGACGTAAATATTAGTAGTTTCATTTAATTGTTTGTCTTGTTTCCAAAAATTGTTCTATATTTTTCGCCGGTCAATTTGCCTGGACCAAGACATCTTTGCAGGCACTTGTTTACTACAATCTCCCGATAAACACTTTTATGAACAGAAGCCTGACTCCCACGCTTCTGATAACACGACTTACTATATATTAAATAGCCATCAGATTAAAAAAAAAAATGGTCATCAAGTCTAGATTAGTGTCAGATTAAGATTATGTTAGGGTTAGGGTTAGGTGTTTAACAATTTACTCATATAGTATAAATTCAAAGGTGGAGTTCATGCTGGATATTAACATCAAGCAACTAGCGGTGATATATCATCGATCGTGGAGCTATTTCCATCCGTCTAAGTATCCCAAGTGAGTTCAGGGTGAGAATCGAACCCAGAGAATATCTGAAGGAAATTTTGTTCATGCACAAAGAGCAAAACTGAGGATAAAATTCGAATTTAGCAGCATTTTAAACAGCTGGGGAGGCTCCGTTGTGTCCTCTTTTTAATTTTATATGTAATTATATGATTGAGGACAGGTACAGAATCACAGACAACAGAACTGCTATAGTCCCAAATTACGTCCTACCGGATCTAAATACATTGTACAAAAACACACACACAGGATTACAAAGCAATACAACTAAAATCTGATCAGTTGTTTAGTACTCCAGAACTATCTAAAAATTGACTTCTTACCAAAGCTTGAATTAAATTTAACTTTAGTGTGGTAGGAGCATAGATATCTTATATACACTAGATATGGCGCATCTCTTTTAGCAAAATTGAAGCCAAGAATGTTCCAGCGGTTACCTCCTGGCCCATTTGAATAGATGGCGGCCATGTTGGTCGTTCCCACTTGCTAATAAACGCTTAAAAACAACAATAACTTTCATCATTTGAATAGTTTAAAAACGTATTTGGAATAGGGTTAACTTAATGTTTAAGTTTCCTGTTTAAGAAATAGAAAACATTCTCATTTCATGGTAACGACCTGAGACTGCAATCACGGCTTCAATTTTTGAATTAAAGAATAATTAGATGCACTATCTAGTGTATATAAGATATCTATGGGTAGGAGAGACATCAAGAAATCTAAGGAATGTATTTTAAGGGTCCCAACGTAGGACAACAAACTTTCAATGGTGAACTGAAAAACCCCACACACAACAAGTTATTAGGATTTCTGGTTCATCCCAGAAAATTATTGTATTTTTGTACGGTAACCTCAATTATTGATATATTCTATGTAAACACATGCACTGACTGTTAAGAAAGCAATGTAGTTGTTTGAGGGAACCTGTAGCTTATTTGCATATATTTTGAAAAAGAAGGACCTTCAGACTGAGTGCATGTTTTTTTCCAAATTGCACTCAACCTATACCTACCATATACGGTACAGGTATATGGTTTTGAATGCAATTTGGAAAAATACAGTCATGCACGAGCGAGTTTTTCGGAGACTATCCAATTGTGAAGTCTTTGAAAAAGACACGAGTGCATGTTTTTCCAAATTGTACGAGAAAACATCTGTATTTCAATACAATTGCACTAATCTTAGAAGCCAATCAGCGAGACTGCGCATCCAAATGACGCGTTCTGCGTCGTGATAAGTAGATACAATCATAACATGTAGCTAAGACTGTCGAAGTATTGAATAAATCTTAAAATAATTTATCACTCCACAATCTCAATCATTCATTACTGCACAAATTAGTTGTGCGAAGTGGTACCTTAAAATCAGGGCTGCAAAAGTTACTGCTCAAAAAGGAATTAATTACAATTACAGGTACTTGCATCGGCTTCAAAATGTTATTCCCAATTACAGTTACATCTTCTATAAATTAAATTAATCACCCTTTCAAAAAGATAATTTATAGATTACTTTTTGTAAATGTTGATCTTGTGCAAATAAGACTTCTCACATCAGAAATGAAAATAAGCAAGGTCTGATGAAGCATGAAATTAAAGTTTATTTCTGAATCAACAATCGTTATACAAAATTGACACAGAAAATTTTTCAAAACAGTTTCAAAAAATTCCTTGAGCAGGTGTTTCACCTATATGTGTTACTTTCAAACACACAATATTCTGCTTCCAATGGCTTTCTTTAGAAATAACCACAACAAGTAAAATGTTTAAAGTCTAAAAATACCTGTCATTTTGTGTCAGTCATCGCAGTCCAAGTAACCCACATCCCACCATCCCTGTCCAAAAATAGGCACTAATCCCAGTTGCCACTTTAACATTTCAAGACCCTTTTAGCTGCAGTTAGAGAATGACTGCACTCACTCTGCCAATCAGCTTCGAGTATTCCATTGCTCTATATCTCATAGTGTGTTAAATCATCAAGTGGGTGAGGGATTTGAAGCGTAGGGAAAATGTGGGGTTAAGAAAACAAAAGGTTTAATGAAAAGATTGAATCATAAGCCACTCTATTTATAGATTAAAATTCATTAACCACTCTATTGAATTAGTGACTCTACTGTAGAGTCACTAATGAATTCAATAGAGTGGTTAATGAATTCATAAAAAGTCACACCTAAAGCAGTACAAGTTGTCCAAAAATTACAAAGTACGCACACCAGCATTTTCGTTATATAACACGCACATATACCAATTCCCCCCAAAATAAACTACAACACGCCGAAGTTCAAGTCATAATTAAAATCAGTTGTGTTCATTTCACTGAAAATTCAAATTTAATGTAGTATCCTCACGTCACCTGTACTTTAGACGATACGTCTTTCCTTTGCTTTTTCTTCACACACCTCTTTTTTGCGACAACTTCTATGGATTCTACTTCTTCTCTACTTGCAATTGAACTCATAAGTTTTTGTAAGGCATCTGATACTTTTTGTTAACAAAACTAGCTAGTGCATGTATGAGCGCAGCGAAAGAGTGTGTTTAGCGATTGTACATAACACGAATCAACCATGAAGTAATTTCATTATTATATTTGACATGCACTGACACAGCGAGCGAGAAACAAGCAAAGTATATCCAGCCTCAAAAACAGATTTCTTACCACTTGTTTCTCCACTTTCAATCCGTGCTGGAATTCTAATCAAAAAGGTTTATTTTTAGTGGTTAAAGCCTTAAATAAGTGTTTTCTCTATGATGATATTAATTGTCGCTTTTGCGAAGAATATCGGAATAACAAATTAAACTGGGCGCCATGTTTACGATCACTGCGGAGGGGACAATAATGTATTAATAATTATTTAGTTTTATTCATTTAAGGTGATCAAGTGCGCATGATTGTATCCCGGCCTGAAATTATTCTAGTCTTTTGTAGGAATGAGAAAGTGTTGTTCAATTTAAACGTAATATAGTAAATATTTAAAAATGGAATTAAAACACGAACTAAACTGATTTCCTGATATTTTGCGATTTCAGGAAATATTTATACATAATATGAAAGCCATGACTTGCGCAAAGCGCAAACTTCAAATAATAATTTAATCTGTTAATATACGTTTGAAACGGCCTCCAAACAAAATATTAAATAATATGTAAAGTTAAATAAAATGAAAACTTTACGTTAGCACTCTTATCATTAACAGCGCTAGGTTAGAATATAATGAGCTGATCTTATCCTTTTAAAAACATAATGAAAGCAATGCCAATGTAATTGTTGGATCATTACACTTCATTAACATAATACATTTTCGGGAATGCTTTCATCTAGAGTACAGTGTAAGATTAATTAGTTTTGTGTCTGACATGGCCATGGGAACCAATTATTTTCTACGTCAAATCCTGATATTAATTGCATGTATGTCCATACGGCAGTGATAACTGAAGCGTCCTTTGGTGAGAACTAAGTGCATTAAAGAGTAATGTTCTGAATCTCTGATAATCTCATTTTCTGTTTATTTAACATTATAGCCATGGAATCAAATATGACAAATAATCTAACGCCGGCAATAAAAGGAAAGCTCTTTTCTAATCCCAACGAAGACGTGAACTCAGATGATGCCACATGGATATTAACAAGTGCTTTCATAATATTCACCATGCAGTCTGGATTTGGGCTGTTGGAGTCAGGGTTAGTGTCGCGTAAGAACGAGGTTAATATTATGGTAAAGAATGCAGTTGATGTCATATTCGGCGGCTTGGCCTACTGGCTATTTGGTTTTGCTTTGAGTTTTGGTGAGGGATATGGATCAAATGCCTTCTCGGGAATGGGTATGTTCCTTACCGAAGCCAACGATAACGAGCGCATGGGTTACATATACTCCAGGTATTTCTTTCAACTATCATTTGCCACCACAGCTACAACAATTGTGTCTGGAGCAATGGCAGAAAGAACCAATTTGAAAGCTTACACGGCATTCTCTTTCCTGAATACACTGACTTACTGTTTTCCAGCACATTGGGTGTGGGCTGAAAACGGATGGCTGAAAGAACTAGGTAAGTTCAATATGCATTTCGACACGCAAATTAAGTGCCTTGTGATATACTACTCATCTGATAACGAATCAACGAAATGTTATTATTCGAGTTTTGCAAAACAAACAGCTGTCCCTGTATATGCTAACTTCCCGACGAAGGAGATATATAATTCGCTCAAAACGTCGAAGCTCTGCTTATATTTTTCAGGCAGTTGCATATCTTTGACATGCACCGCAGCTGTTTGCTACCGCCTTTATACTTACACTGCCATGCACCGCGACGGTTCGAGATTAATTTTTAAATCACAACTTACCTTCTATGGTTGTTTATTGAAGTTAGCCGGTTGAGACGTTAGGAAGCGAAAATTACAAGGGCCGGTTATTCGAAAATCTCCGAGGTCGATCGGTTGGAAAAAACCCTGCATGGGATCGGTGGGGAAAACTTATTTACTAGACGTTTAGTTTATTGTGTACGGTTTGTCACGAAAGCCAATTGCAAATTCATTCTGTATTGCATATAAGACAATTTTTTTATCTAAACTATACTTCATCAGCAAGACTAACTTAAGAAATAATTAAAGAGCAGCTATATCCAGAAAAATATCCGTTTCCATAAATATTATTGTGACGAGGTTTTTATGCTAGCTTTACACGGACAAATTTCATTTAGACTGGCAGCCTCACCAGGTTCCCCGTTTTACTCTGCAATAAATAATTATTTCATTCATGATCAACCCGACTCACCAGGTTCCCGCAATTTCATTCAGCCGGCGGGCTAGTCTGGTTTTCATTAGACTTTCCCAAAGTCCTCAAGTTCCTCAAGTTCGTCTTTGCTTCGAACCGAAGGAATTTTCGAGGAAGCGCTCGCGGTCCCTCACTAACAGTAAACAGTGCATGGAGGTCGACTTGGACTCTTGGAGTATAGTCTAAGTTTTGATGTGAAGTATAATATTGTTTTGTAAAGTAGCCTAAATTAGTATGCCAGGCTCCCTGTTTAATTAACCATGTCAGCTCAATTTATCCGGAGTTTTGTATTCTGTACTGAATACTCAGTGTTTCATGCAGATTTTGTTTGTAGGCGGAAAGAAATGACACGTACGCGACAGATGCATATATACAGTACTGATAATTATCAGATCATATCTAGTTGGCGTCGTGTTATTTTCGACATTTTATTTTAAGTATACATGCAGGTGCAAACAAATAATTATTTCTATAACGTGGTGCATATAAGAACCCAATGCCTCTGTGCTTGTTCGACTTGCAATGTTCGAGCATTTTAGTTTGAATTAAGCTAAGCATAAAGCGGCACTCCTATATTAAATCTATTTTGCTTCCCGAAGGTCTCGCCTCTAGCGGGACAGATGTCTCCGTGTGGCAGTTAAATTAAGCGTTTTTCTGATACGGCGTATACGCACCCACGCACGTAAAAGTTTAAATCCATTTAAATTTCACTAACGAAATAACTGAATAACTAAAAAGACAGCATTTAGTTTCCTGTGTGAGTTAATGTGTATGTGTTCAGGTAGGTATGAAATTTAATTAGAAAGATGTATGAAAAACGCTTTATTACCTGGAAAGCAGACATAGCTAGCTGTAGCGGCCCCATTCACATGAACTGGGACGAAGTTAAACGTCGAATGAAAGTTGAAAGTTTCAGTATATTCATATGAGACCGGTATTAAAATTACAAATCTTTTAATTCATCTTGCCCGAGTCAGTTTCTATTTTTACAGTGCTTTTTTGTGCATGCATCTGCCTCGTACCCAGGCGCTTTAAATAATTACAATACATGAAGTATTCAGGTAGGCAGGCGACGCGCGAAGGGGCTGTTGGGAAGGGTGCGTGCTGGGGAGCGCCTGGCAGTTCTTGTATACTGTCATGGCGGGAAAACATGGAATTTAATACAAAAAGTTACCATATCGTCATATACTCTGTGTGTAAAACCTTACTTTGTGACGAAGAGTTGAATTGAACGCCATTGGCAAATAATAATAAATTTGTAGATATTCGATGACATGCGAAATGCGCGAAAAATTATGAGTAAATAACATGGCAAGTTAACCGTGCGAATATTTCGAATATGTCATTCGGTATTACATGGAGAATAATAGAATGCTATCAGTTGCTTAGTATAAAACAGTAACAGAGAAATGATTAGAAAGTCATATAATTGCTTTTGTATTAACAACTTCTTTAGCTGAAGGCTCGATCGGTCGATCACAATGCCAATGGCAATTTCTATTAAATGTATACTGTAAACAAAAGCCCAAGTATAAAATAGAAGTTCACAGCCGTAAAGTTTGAAATATTTAATACAACAGTGCAATTTTATAGTCTGTACCTTTATATAGTTATCATAGATATCTTATATAAACTAGATAGCGCATCTCTTTTAGTAAAATTGAAGCCAAGAATATCCCAGCGGTTACCCCCATTTGAATAGATGGCGGCCATATTGGAGCTTCCCACTCGCTAATAAACGCTCAAAAAATAACAATAACTTTCATCATTTGAATAGTTTGAAAATGTATTTATAATAGGATTAACTTAATGTTTAAGTTCCCTGTTTAAGAAATAGGATACATACGAATCTTCTCATTTCATGGGAAGATCCTGAGCCTGCAATTACGGCTTCAATTTTTGAATTACAGAATAATTAGATGCGCTATCTAGTGTATATAAGATATCTATGATAGTTATAGATTACAAATCTAGTTCCTGCAAGTCTAGTTCTTCAACGCTTCGGTTGTTGACATGTTAATATTGGAATTTCCATGGACTTTAAATAAGGCATATGTCATATATACCAAGAATAACAGCATGAATTCACGCCCAGATGACAGAAGAATATTAACATTAGTCAATTCAACAAAAACAAGTAGCAAAAAATCGTAAACGACAACGAAATAGCACAACTTGCAGGAAATCGACTTTCTTGCAAGAAATCGATCAAGAACTGCCAGGCGTCTCGCAGTTCAAGTGCACTCTTCCCATCAGCCCCTTCGCCATCTCTCCCCACTACAATACTTCATGTAAACTCGTCATATGCGCATCACTGTTTTTTAACCAAGAGACGCCAGGGTACGAGGCAGTGCATGCATTGTAATGATCGCCAAGACCAAGAGCACATGCAACGGGAGCCGGTCTGAAATGTATTAATTTGTGTTTATACATTCATCTCGCTCTGAATTCATCCCGCTCTGAAGCTATAGTAGGTTTGGTCCAGCGAGCGGGATGATTTCAGACCGGTCCGAGAATTTTTCGTCCCGATCTCATGTAAAAATCTATTAAAAAATAATATTATATGGCTTTGCAGAATCCTGGATTCTGATTGGTCGACGTGCGGTCCGTAAAATGCGTATCCGGACCGTGGTCCGTATTTTCCCGTATCCGGACCGGTTTCCCGTATGTCAATTTGACAGGCTCGAATTTGAAACGTTTTTACACGTTTATAAGGACGTTATGTGAAGAAAAAGTATCCTTGGATCATTTTTAAGAATAAGAAGTCTTGGAAATATTAATAAGTACTTGTACGAACACAAATTTCATCGAAAAAGCTAAGAAAACAAGCCGCTTGAACTCTTACTGGAAACCGTACGTTTTGGCGGGAAAATTTTTTGATTTGTTTTAATTTTGTTTCAAAAAATAAATAAAGATGAATTTAACGTCTTTAAACCATATTCTAAACAAATATCATATAAACTGGGTTTATAAGCATTTTTTCTGGGGGTAGGCGGGTTAAAAAGTAGTTCTAAAGCGATTGTTAAACATGCTTTTCCGTGTTAACAATATTCGGTGACGAAACCAAATCTAAACGAAGAAAACTAGCAAATAAAACATGGCTCAAAAATACCTTTATAGCGCTCAAACAAATATGAAAATCAGAAAATGTGTTTAAGGAGGCATATACTAAACGGTTTATTAACCTCGTTTTGCTCGGTCTGTACGGGAAAGTATTTGCCTTCGGTTTATCTGCACAGACCTCATTTTCGTCGCTCGATCAGTCTGTACGAAAACCTCAGGCAAATACTTTCCCGCAGTGGCGGCGGAACAGGGGGCTAGGAGGGCTTTAGCCCCCCCCCACAAGTAAAAGTGGGGGGGAGGCTTAGTCCCCCCCCAAAAAAAAAAAAAATGTCCGGAAAAATTTTTTGGTTTATGTCCGAAAAAAAAGTGGCAACGGGGGGTAGGAAGAGAAAATTTTAATCACGAAAAAAATTTAGCCCCCCCCCCAAATAAAATATGTTCCGCCGGCGCTGCTTTCCCGTACAGACCTCCTCTCGGTTAATAACCCTTTAATATAATATGACCGAAATGAAATCGTCCCGGTTTGTCTTTGTCCCGATTTCATGTGAACGGGGCCTTATTAGATTTTTCCTTCGAAGTTAAATCGCGAGTCGCAGTTTGTTGTTTGCAGTTTGTCGTTTAACGCATATTTTGGTTTAGTTTTCGATGTTACGCATCAATGTGTGTAGAAGCAATGGCAGGTGTACTTTCGAGTTTATAAATAATTTTGCGGCACGTGTCTAATGGTTTTCAAACTTATTTAATTTGGATACATGTCTAGTTTTTAAAATATCATGTCCGTGCGGAATAACACACTCAAATTAAAACATAAATAATGCAAAACGCAAAAATATGGCGGCTCTGCATGCATGCATGCATGTATGCATGTATGTAAAACACGAAGCGCACAAGTAGCACTTGAATTTCGGCGCACAAAAGGCATTTGAAAAACTTAATAATCTTTAAGTATAGCAAATTAAAAAAATTATGGTTATATAAACAAATCAACTAAATCACTGAAACGTGAGATAAATCACTTTTAATAAAGAAATTGAAACGCTTGAGGGATTTACACTATACGACAACGTATAGGAGAGTTATGTGCTTGATTTACACAGTACAATTCAAGTTGTATATAAGCAGGTTGTATCCGACAGTTTTAGCCGGAAAAAGTTGAAAAGCACGTAAATCGGCTTTTACGGGAAAAGTCGCACGATTCGCGCCCCATGCATGCGGCCGTCAAAATGCGTAAATATATGGCAAACGCAATTGCATGCCAGACATATAATCACGAGGTTCCTTCCAGTTTGCAGTTTTACGTTTCAAACGAAAAACCTGAAATCTAAATGTCGCTGATTATGGAGGGTTCCATCTCACTTGCCAAGAGGAAATTACAACTTCATGTATTGCTAAAACTAGCACTTGCAACTCCCCTCTATAATAGCACTATTTTTTAACCTTATTATTACATTTTTTATCTTATTTAAGCCAGATATGGATATAGATAGATAGAAAGATAGATAAATAGATACTGAGATAGTTTGTTTTTTTCATTGTTCTTCTAGATTATTTATATACAAAATGTTTTTTAAATTATTTTGTCTAACGTTTTTATTTCCTCTACGGAAACAATTTTCATGACGGTTTATTATAACTATGTTCATCTTGCGTCAGCTGGATGATTGCGTGGTTTTTCTCGCATGCTTCAGGGCGCTGTAAAACACGGGCGGTGAAACGGCTATGGCGCCCCTGATCTATGTGTGATGCAGGTCCCCCCGCATATTTTCATTTTTATTCGATGCCTGGTTCGATCAGGCATGTTTGTTTTGACTTATTTTTAAAGGTGATCTACAGTCCGTATGTAAACAAGGCCTTTGTGAGAGCCCACACTTCCCGCCATGAAAATAATTTGTATTATCATTCACTTTATAGTATTCTCAATTTTGATTGATTAATTTACCTACAAATAACTGTGTAAAAATATCGATCAGGTGCAAATAACTGGTGCAAATACTTCATTGAGCATGCGCACTTTGAAAATAATTCGTCAGCTTAAGATGGCTCGATACACTTTTCAAAATTTCAGGTCTTCAACCATGGATAATAAAATACATAGATAGGAAACTAGCTGACGTGACCTAATGTTTTCAATGGGATGATGGCGTTGAAACCTAGTTGCAAGCCAAATTCTCAAAAACGGCATGCTTAGCGATAATACAGCTATAAACATTTTAGTCAAAGAGCAAATAAATATAACTAGGCCATTCCACGATGAAATCTCTAAGTATTCCCGGTCAATTTTAGCAAATATTTCAAGCACTAAACAGTGAAAAATGCATCATTCGCAAATTTCGTTAAAATTGGCGACGCCAATTTCGTAGCTACAAATGTAAAAAATGGCAAAACAAAGACGAAAAACATTTACCTTGCGCATGAATACTTTGTCGTGGCTTAGGCATGTTTTTAAAACAATTAGACCAGTTTATGCTTCAATATTACTCTTTTAAAGCGGAAAATATTTACTTACGCAACAACATTCCGTTGCAATTTGCTTACGCAACAACATTCCATATGTTGAACGAAGAAGCATTGTGTCTTGAGATCAGAAAACCAAAAAGTAAACCAGTGTTAGTTTCTTCCTGGTACCATCCACCAGATTCGAATATTGAATTGCTTGAATGCTTGGAAAAATTTTTGAAAAAAATTGACGATGAAAATAAGGAAATAATTATATATAACCGGTGACTTTAACTGCGATCTGTTAAAAAAGGATTGTGTCAATCCTAACATTAAAAAGATGAAAGAGTTCATAGACATTTATCAACTTCCGAACAACATATTGATAAACCAAGTAGAACAACCAACTATTCCCAGGCTCTTACTGATCTCATACTCACTAAAATTGAAGACAATAAAACAATTGATTCTGGGGTAATTGAACTGGGCATAAGTGATCATAGCCTGTTCACGCCTATTGGCCTCGTTTCAATGTTTGGTGACGACCAACCCACGCGCCTTCAATACTTGTATTTGGGGACTGTATATTAAATGTTACATGAAGTACACACCACTCACAATAACGTCTTAACGAACGGTTTTATTTTTCACGCTAAAAAGACAAATATTCATAAACTTATAAAGCGAAATAATACAGAAATACCAAAACATACATATTAACCTTACACAATACATAAATGAATAAACTGAGACTGTCTAAATTAAAATATTACGACTGTCACATGCACTGAAATAAATCAGTCAAATTATGCCCATTTTTACCGTTCAAAAACAGTCAAAATCTTCTTCGATCAAGCCAACCAACAAAGCAATACAGAAATTACAATAATAATAAGTTTTCTCAATCAAAAACGTCCAAAACAGCGTGCAAAGCGACCAACATTCTTTCACAACAACTCAGATCTCTCAAAACGTCACGACACGGTTTTTCCTGAGCCCGTCCATAGCCTGATTTATATATACAGGAAAATAAGTATCCCTAAGGGAAAACCTAAGCTAATAGAGAAAAGACAATTCAGGTACTTGAACTCGACTGATTTCCAAAACAATCTTAGAGAAGCATTTAGTAATTTCAATCATTACACAGATCCCAACTTAGCATGGCATCAATGGAAAGGGATATTCCTTCAAATCGCTGATAATCATGCACCCCTGCGATTAAAAGAAGTAATTAAAGAGCGAATATACCCCATGGCTAACTAACGAAATTAAAAACATGAATTGTCACAGGGACTTTTTAAAAAAGAAAGCAGAAGTCTTAATTCTCCAGCGTCCACGAAGCATATAAAAAATGTATAAATGAAGTAAACCGTCGTATCAAAGTCGCTAAACTAAATTATTACAAAGCGAGTTTGGAGAATAGTACTAATAGCAAGGATAGCTGGAAAATTATAAATGAATTACTGAATAAGAAATCAATGACTACCTCTATAAATGAATTTATAATTAACCACGACAAGATAACAGGTGACAAAAACATTGCAAACGAATTTAATTACTTTTTCTGTAAAATAGGACCACAACTTGCAGAAAATCTACCCCTTACATTATGTGATTCCTGGAACAAATGCTTTCAAATTTAAGAATATTACGAGGGCAGAATTGGTGAGCGTGTTATAGAAGGTTGAAGCATCTAAGAAGCATCTAAGGCACCACGCCTTGTAAGATTTCTATAGTAAATTACTTAAAGCAGCAGGGGACTCCATAATTGAATCACTCATGTACTTATTTAATCTTGTTTTGAACACTGGTATTTTTCCAGATGATATGAAACTTGCAAAAGTTACTCCAATCTATAAATCTGGAGATATGGCCAACTGTGGTCATTATAGACCTATTTCTATAATATCAGTTGTTGCAAAAATCTTGCAGAAGATTATTTATAATCAAATATTTGACTTCCTGAAACAAAATTCAATTTTAGCGAACCAACAATCAAGCTTTCGTCCTTTTCACTCAACCGAAACTACACTCCTACATTCCGCTAACCAATGTCTTATCAATATGGACAAAGCTAGGTCTGATTAATGGCTTTTTAATAATTATAGGCCTCAAAAAAGCTTTTGGCACTGTTGACCATAAAATTCTAATTTCTAAGCTAGAACTATACGGAATATCAGAGGAGCCGCTTTACACTTATTTCAATCTTATCTCTCTGAAAGAGAACAAATATGTAAACATGATTTTTGTCGGTGTTGGTGTTATGTACTCAGGTGAATATGATGTTTGTGGTGTTACTCTGAGTGCATATCCAGACCGGGCAAGCTTAAAAAATATGCCTGGCCACGGTGGGAATCGAACCTATGACCTTTGGAATACTAGCACAAAGCTCTGCCAACTGAGCTACGCCGGCGGTCAGGTCGGTTCGAGTATGTGATAAATCGGAACTGAGTCTAGTTCCTTCGATATCAATGCAATCTAGTAATCATGATTTTTGTCTGTGTTGGTGTTATGTACTCAGGTGAATATGATGTTTGTGTCTTTGTGATGTTACTCTGAGTGTGTATCCACACCGGGCAAGCTTCAAAAATATGCCTGGACACGGTGGGAATCGAACCTACGACCTTTGGAATACTAGCCCATGTAAATATGTAAACTTCAAAATATAATGTCAGAAGTTGCTAATGTAACTTGCGGTGTTCCCCAGGGATCACACCTTGGCCCATTACTCTTTCTGTTAAACATTATGAGGAATTGGTGGAAAAAATTGCCAAATAATATGAAGCCTATGCTGCCTGCCGACTGGAATGCTTGTAAAGCTGCTGGTTTGTTAAAACCAAGAAGGGGGACGCGCGGCGGAAGCAACAATCGACTGACGAATCACATCCAAATGTAGTTAGACCCAGGAACAAGGTCAAGGATAATAAATACTTTTGCTCGAAAGATTGGAAGGAATCGAAAAAAAAACTATCGAAACTTATTATATATTCAAACGGAAAACACTGCTTCGACAAAAACTAAGTATAATAACATAGGATCCCATGGGAGACCGCATTTTGTCTCATCTATTCTCCTATCAAATACCATGTCATTAGCACCTAAAGTTGATGAAATAGCTTACACCCTAGAGCAAGAAAACATCGATCTTGCATTATTTAGTGAAACATGGTTGAAAGAAACTGTCCCTGATAAGTCGATAAATATTAAAGACGCGATCGCAAAGAGAAGGCCCACGGAGGGGTTTGCCTGTATGTGAAGGATTTTATTCCGTGTAATATATTGCTTGAGTTTACAAAGTGACGAACACGAAGTGCTATGGGCAGATCTAAGACCAAACCGTTTACCGCGAGGTTTCTCTAATATCATTCTAGCTGTGGTTTATCACCCCCCTAATGCAGATGATATGACCATGCGTGAATATTTAAAGTCCTCCTTAGAGGAAGTAGAGTCTAAATTTCCCAATAGTGCAATTATCTTGGCGGGAGATTTCAATTAATAAGCTTAACATAAGAGTAGATGCTAACGCTTTTCAACTGAAGGCTATTGTTAAATTTCCAACAAGAGGTAGTAATATTCTCGACCAGATTTATACCAACTTACAAAATTACTACCAAAAACCATCCAGTTTACCACCTTTTGGTCTATCTGATCACACGTCACCATTACTGTTTGCCCTAGGACGCGCGAGAATACCAAATCACAAAGAAAGACCATTAGGATTAGAGATAAAAGACCCAGCAATATCTCTAGCCTCGGCCGTTATTTGATTAATGTCCCTTGGGAGGGTATGCTGTCACCTTGTCAGACTTGTGATGAAAAGCTTACGATAGTAACGAGGATCATTAACTATGGTCTAAATACATCATGCCTGAGAGGTCTATTCGAATCCATCAAACAGATCGTCCTTGGATGACAAGTAATTTGAAACTGTTGATCAGACAGAGACAAAGAGCATTTGTAAATGGTAATATTACCTACAAACTTTTAAGAAATAAAGTAAACAGAGAAAGAAAACATTGCAGGAAAATCTACTATAACAACAAAGTGAAGGACCTACAGCAGACCAAGCCTCGGGACTGGTGGAGAGAGGTGAAGCAACTATCTGGCTCAACTAGAACCTATCGTCCAAGTCTGCGGTCTATTATAAAAAACGAAGACAATCTTACTGACCCAGAACTTGCTAATAAAATAAATAAAGCTTTTATTAGTGTCATGAATGATTATATGCCATTGTCGGAAGAAGTGGTTGTTTTCATTGGTGACGACGAACCTATTATAGTGACGGAGGAATCAGTGGCGCTGAAATTAAGACAAATCAGCACCAACAAAGCAAGTGGGCCTGATTATATTCCCAACTGGGTGCTCAAAGAATACGCCGACATACTCGCGCCTGCTGTTGCGGAAATAATTAACACCTCTTTTCAGGAGTGTAGAGTCCCATCAGCATGGAAGATGGCTGACGTCCCACCAGTGCCAAAAGCCGCTACGGTCGAAGACTTTAATAAAGAACTAAGACCGATCTCTTTTACTTCAATATTATCTAAAGTGGCGGAAAGTTATGTCATCGAAAGAGACTTAAAACCAACCTTATTAAGATCATTGGTCCCCTCCCAATTTGGTTTTATTCCAGGTTCATCTACAACAATTGCCCTTATATCCATGCTCCATAAGTGGTTAGAGGCAACTGATGGTACGGGGGCCACCGTAAGAATTGCACTATTGGACTTTAAGAAGGCGTTCGACCTGGTGACCAGAACTTGCTCATTAGCAAATTGTTTGGTCTTGGTATAAAGCCTTCCGTCGTTAACTGGATTGCGGACTTTTTGAGAGAAAGATTTCAGTGAGTAAAGATTAACCTGGAATGTTACTCTAGCTTCATGTCTGTTCCTGCTGGAATCTAGACTGTCCAAAGTCCTTTCCAGACCCTTCTATGGCGCGCTTCGCTTCCTCTGTGGAAAGGACTTTTGTCACTTGCAGCGCGCCAAATATCACCGGTGGAAAAATCCACCGGTGACGTCATTGTTTACATTGCCGATTTGCCGAAGCGGTTTACATTATTATTGTATTACAATATTATATTCTCAGGCTTTCTTGTTGAACAAATGTGTACTATTGAAGCAAATAAAGCAAACAATGTAATTACAATTTTGTAGAACACAAAAACCATGTGAAAATACACAAACAAGCATTACATTGAGTATATTTAAAAGTACAGGGTGTCGAAATAAACTTTATTAATACTGTCACGTACCGAAGATGCATCTAATGATTCTAAAATTTCCTCACTAGTTTTGGGTTTAGTTTGGGTTTCTTGATCTCGATTACTGATTATTAATACAAAATCATTTGTTGAGAAAACAACGCGTATTTTTACCGGATTTTGAACTCTGGCGACGTCTTCTCGTTGACCACAATCGCCGCCTCTCTGCTTCTCGGTTACAGTTGTCTGATTCTTTTCAATTAGATTAACTTCTACTACTAATATTAAATCGCTCGCGAACTGAATCAACTTTCTATAATAAGTCTAATAAATTACTATTCTTGTCGACACAATTACGGCACACATTGTTAGACAAACAACTGTCCAGATTCAATAAGTTTTTACATGCACTCGTTTTTGTTGATACATTGAACAGCTTTCGGCGCTTACTTGGGTCAGTTATTTCGTTTCCACACTCGGTGCAAACTGTTTCATTCGAGGACAAAGAAATATCAATTCTTGAGAATGTTTTTGTGTTTTTGTAGACCAATTGTCGGCGCGGTGAAGTAATTGTATGAAATGTACACACCCATTTTATGTCAAAATTATTCGCGCCAAAATTTTTAATGCGATTTAAATTCCTGCAAGGGACACAAGTCGACCACTCGCGACTTCGTCGCTCGGGTCGCGCCTTCTCTCCCCCGCGCCCTCCCTCCCCCATGGTCGACTTGTGGCAAGTCTAGCTGGAATCCCCCAAGGCACAAAAATTGGCCCATGGCTCTTTTTGGCAATGATTAATGACCTCACTATAGGGGGATTACCAGCAGAAATGTGGAAATTTGCAGATGATACCACAGTTTCAGAAGTTGTGAAGAAAGATGGTGCAAGTGAGCTGCAGGGAACAGTACATGAAATATCTGAGTGGACAAATCTTAATAGGTTCCAGTTGAACCCAACGAAATGTAAAGAAATGATAAGTTTCAAAAAGCAGCCGTGTGTTTACACTTCATTAAATGTAAATAACCAATCATTCGAAGTCGTGAATGCAGCAAAACTCCTTGGAGTAACTATTACACAAGATCTCAAGTGGAACACGCACGTCGAGAACATCGTACGGAAAGCTGCTAAGCGTATTTATTCGCTAAGACAACTCAAACGAGCTGATGTAGATTCCAAATCGTTAATTAGATTTTACTGTTCTTGTATAAGATCAGTACTCGAGTATGCTTGTCAGGCGTTTCATACTAGTTTACCTCAGTATTTATCAAATGATATAGAGCATATTCAGAAAGGAGCCTTACGTATTATTTATCAAGATTTGAGTTATACAGGAAACTTAAAAAGAGCAGAACTGGAAACCTTGCATGACAGACGGACTATGCTGTGTGATAAGCTGTTTTCAAATGTTATTACGAACCCACAACATAAATTGGCTGAATTGCTGCCAACCAAAAATATAAACTCATATGGCCTGAGAAACAATAGAAAGTTTAACGTTAAGCGGACAAAGACAAATAGATTTAATAATAGTTTTATAATACATCAAGCTGCAAAGTTATAGATTTATTGACTATTGTAAATAAGAATAATAATTTTAATGTAAATAATTACTAATTGAATATTGTAATTAACCACTTTTATCACTGTAATTCAGTCCCCGGACTGCAATGGTTGATTTATATTAAACGATTTTATTATTATTATTCTAATTATTAATGACCTCCCTAATTGCCTAGAAGAAACACAAGCTTCTATGTTTGAGGACGATACAAACTTGTCTTGTCAAGGTAAATCGTCCACAAAAATCGACTTAGAAAACGTACATAAATGGATATTTACTAGCAAATTAACATTGAATCAGGAAAAAACTGGATGCATGCTGGTAGGACAGAGATTACAATAATCTTCAAGTAATCCTCAAATAGTTATTGGCAACCATATTATACAGCAGGTCTCAAGTAAGAAAGTTCTTGGGGTCATTATTGCAGATGAACAGTTAAAGTGGAAAGAACATAACGATGCACAATGCAAAAAAAATTCCCAGTCAATTGCTCTCTTAAAAGAGCAAAGCAATTTGTAAGTCAAGATACACTTCTAAACATGTTTAATGCACTTTTCCTACCTCATTTCACATACTGTTCGAATGCATGGAATGATGGTAGTTGTGCACATATTGAAAAACTACACAAATGGCATAAGCGAGCCGCTCGAGTGATAACGGGTTCAAATTATGAAATAAGATCAACAAAGATATTTGAAAAATTAGGTTGAGAAAAAAATGAAATTATTCTTTAAAAACGTGAACACATCATGACATTTAAAGCATTACGGGGCGAAACGCCTAACTACTTGTCAGACTTGTTTGTCGCCAGTCATAATGACACGTATCAATTAAGAAGTAATGATCGAAAACTTTATTTAAACCCACACCCAGTGGCGTAGTCAGAACGATAATTGGGCGGCCCATATTCATATATTCGTGTTCTGCTTTATTAATTTCTTTTGAAATCAATTGTTTTTATGGTATGTGAACACGAATATAGCTGAAATTGTCGATGTATACGAACAACCTTCCTTGTATTCTTTTAAAACTTTAATCATCACTACAAGGACTTGGAGGGAAATACATCGACAACTTAATTAACCTAATTCTCTTTTGTTAAAATTGTTGTAAATAGATAGTGTTTGTATTTCTAAACAATGTATATATATGTGTTCATAAACGGCCCCTTGAAAATCAGTTTTTCTTTATCGCTGTAGGGCTACCGTTTTCAAATAATTTTAAATCATAATAATCTAAAATAGAGAGATATATAGCGCATTTTTTTTTCTGAGATGGAAGCAATTGACATACCTGTATAAAACGCTAAAGAACACGCGCAATAACGTGAGATGGCGCGAGCAACTGCTCACGTCTGGTCATTTTGGAAGTTCTTTCAATTTGCTAATCAGTTAAATCACAGAGTGAGAGACATACAGAGACGTAACTGACCGTTGTAAACACTGCGGAAGCTTACGTTTTCATGTACCCACTTTTTTTCAGGCGACCGGGTAAAAAAATGATTAACTGCGCGTGCAAGGCAAGTTCAAAGTGAGTCGTCATCAGGTCGTCATCCAATCAGATGCATGCATCTGGTTAAATGCAGTGAACTCAATCTATTTACCTAGAACGATAACATTCAGTCATTTGGCAGTTAAAAAGTGAACCCTCACGTAAGCAACGCGTGAGCAGTGGCGTCAGCTCTCCACGCCATTTCCACGCCATATAGTATACATCAGTTTCAATCCCCTTATACGCCATCACCGCGTGGTCTACAAGGCATTTTTTAATACCATGGACTGGTGGATCATTTGCCTCACTGGGCCCCTTCCTCTGCTCCACCACTAAAGAAAAAATAGCCAGAGCCCTACGGCCTGTATTGAGTAAATGAGTTTAACTTTGAAAAGAAGTTTAAAAAACAGAATTTGTTGGTGAGCATACTTAATTAAACTTATGTTGTATTTGAATGTTTAGCGTTAAAACTTTGTTTTGAAAAGCTGAGATTTTTAAAAAAAATGTTTTCTCAGAATGCAGGAAATGCTATTTCAGAGACACAAATTTTAAAAATTTCCTGCGGGGGCCATGACCCCCCTATAGCTAACTCGCTAACTCGCCTCACACCTTCGGTGATCGCATACTATTCCAGGGGGAGGGCAAGGAAAATGGGCCCCTTGGCAGTTTTGCCCCACCACTGAAGAATCACCTTAAAAAATGCACTGGCGGTCTATCAGGAATCAGCGCGCGTCAAGTGGCGTTGGCTTTGGCTTCACGTTTCTCCCGCATGTTATCGTTCCAAATAAAAGACATGGACTTCACTGCATGATTAAATGTCACCCGGTTTTGTTCGCGATTCTTGAGTAGGGTTTTTGTGATAAATATATCGAGCTTTCTTAAATTGAAAAATATCGTCTTCTCTTTTGAAATGTCAACATGGCTCTTTTTGCCGAGCTATCGGAAAGCGATTTGTCATCTTTATTGGAGGAAAAGGACGCCGAAAACACAAAAAAGGCAACAAAAGTTAAATTGTAATTACATGCTTGATTTTATAAAAATCACAAATTTTTGTGCAATACGTACAGTATTTTTACGTTGTGTATAATTATGTCAGACTAAATTATACTTTTTCCGTTGACTGTTCTTGTATTTGTTATTAAACTCGTGCCCATCATAATTTACAAATACTAATCGG